TCCATTAGGGTAACAATGATCCATAAATGTATTAAATTTAATCTTCTTCAAAATACAAAACAGACGTTACACAGGCTACCCACGTTTATGTCACAGGTAGAACACTTAACTTACCCAAAATAATACAGTGGTTACTTTTTAAATAGTTCAAATGGTTTATATTCGTATTGCATTACTTAACAAATATGACAGGAATAGAAAATACACTCTATATTTAGATGCTTGCACCAATATTCATAAAACAATATTTTATTTTGTTGTATTATAAGCTATGTCTATACTTTATGAATAAGGGTGTACCAAACAGCCGTTCTGTTAGAATAATGTTTTAGAACTCTAGTTTTACTCAATTTAGCAATAAAGTTTTACTGGCGTTTAAATTGAGTAAAATAATACGAGACATTGAAGTTTTGCTTGTACAACAGATGGCGCTGCTAAAATTAACTAACTTATTGTATTGATCCGTTTCAATATATGAAGTTACCCTTTTAAAAAAAAAATACTTGGAACTTTACGTTCAATAAAGTAAATCTATAACACATAACTCTTTCTATTAAGTCTGGTAGCACCATCTATGTTTACTAAGGTCTTAGTGTTTTGTTTTTATTTATTTTATTATTTCTGACGATCGAAACAGGATCAAAATAGTGTAAACGGCGAATCGGAGACCAGCAAGAGAATCACTGAGCTCCATAACACGATCGCCAAGCAGGTCAGCTCAAAAAAGTTACAAATCATGCATAACTATTATATATTACATATACATATATTACATATAAAATAATAAATTTTGTGTACTTTGAATGATGATTATAAATACACTATAACATTTAAAAAATGCAATAAACTGGCCTGCACACTATTTGATATTAAAATATTTGGAACAAAAACATAAATAAAATATATTCCTTTGCCTTCAAAGTACACAACTCATACCGACCCTGGCCGCTAGGTTGGTTGCCAAAGCACGACAGTGTCACCATCTGTGCGTTAATAACCGATCTAACATGTGACAATCGATAAACGCAAAGCTTCATTTGCTTTATATAAAACCTGATTAATCATTTTGAACCTAATTAGAATAATATAGAGCCCTTCAATGTGTGTGTGTTAAAATATGTAACCGGAATGTATTGAAAGTTATTAGTTTCTTTAACATTGTACACCGAATAGGATTAATGAAAACATTGTACAGTCAGCAACGCGTCAGTTTATTCATAGCTGTCAAATTATTATATATGTATTTCTGAAATCATTTTTTTACTTTGTCATCAACAACCATTGCTTTTTGTGAACTGAGTTACTCTAGACTGTACATATATTAATCAGTTTCAAAAGTATTGCTATAAAATAGTAACATTGCATATGTTATTGTCATAATATGAATGGTTTTTTTTTTTCAAATATTGTTAATTAGAGATGGTGTACAATGTCAAAGACCAAGCTCCATTAAAATTTCAGTATCGCATAAAATATTTAGCATGAGTATTGTTAGAAATTAGTTAAATATATAACGCTGTATCGGCGCCAATATTAACATCTTGATCTAATCCGCATAGTGAAATTTTGGGTTTGGAATGATTTAATATTGTCGCTGTCTACATAAAAGAACCTATAAGATGTTAGAAGCATGCGATATACACTTAAGATTATTGGCAAGACACTATCTCCTCATATATAGAAAGAAAGTAGAGCTCTACACAATAATTTAAAAATTCATTTAGTGGAATAAAAAGAAATTTGAAGCTTAATCCTTAAAATCCAGTCAAACACTTGCGAGCAAAATGTTGGTCTACTATCTGGTCTGATATATATATATATTGACATAGTATCTGATTAAATTTCTTCTTTTTTATTTTATTTGGGTTAACAAACAGTTTCACAATGAGTCTTATAAAATATAGCTAAGTATAAAATTTACATTTTAGAAATAATTAATTGTGAAACCAACACCGTCAACCATGGGTAGATTTCAGAAGTTGAGAGTTAAACAAGTATAATTAAAATAAATAAAAAATTGTGTACTCATACTAAGTGATATGCCTAAGTAAAATGTCTAAAGGTTGAATCAATCACGCACGCATTTTAACATCAAGTGATCGAAAGAGATGCCATGCAGCACGCGTAGCATGACGAAATCGAGAACGTTTCGTCTACGGGCCGGCCATTAATCACGTAATGTTTTTTCTGCATTTTAAACCCCTTGATGATGGTTGATCAAGATGGCATGGTGAGGTTTAAGACTACCCCCCCCCTGCCTCCCTATTCAAAATCACATTTTTAGTAACTACAAAAAAACTATTTTTTAACGTGTCTCTTTTCGGTTTAGTAATCGCAATGGTGTATGACGAGAAATAAATGCATCTGATATTTTACTACCCACCCCCTCACTTCTTGTGATATTTCGTGATTTTTAATGTACTTTTCGAACTTCAGGTGATTAATGGACTGCCCCCTACACCCAAATGTCACTTTTCTCGGATGCGACCATAAGATATGTCACTCTCGATCCGAGAAAAGTGTCATTTGGTGTAGACAAAGCGTTTCTAGAGTTTATCATGCTACCCGTGCAGGTAGTACAAACCTTGCCGGTGACAGTTATCCGAGATAGACTGCGTCACTCTTAATTACATTACGAGGTCGCATGGCTTGGTCTGTGCAAATGCTTCTATTAGCTTAGATAATATAATGACTACATGCCAAAAGCTGCTACAAATATCTTAAGATTAACATTTTAATGTTTTTCTCTTCTGAACTCTATTTGGAAATCATTAAGGCTATTAACTAGTAAAAGAACTTAATAGCCATGCTTTTTTGTTTATTTTTTTTTTATTTCAAAATGAAATAGTTAATAAATTTTATGTTGCCACTAATTCGCTCTTAAGTTTATTTAGTATAGAACTAGCCTTAATCGTGTCACACAGTACATTTAATAGAAAATTAGTTCACTATGACGACAATAGATCAAACATCACATCACAGTACATACTCACTAACACAGTTATTAGGCAAGTCACTAACATTCATCTTACACTTGTGTTGAAATATCCATTAATTCATCGTGAAAATAAGACAATAGGTCAAAGGTAAGTTAAACGATAATGGTCCCAAAATATGGGCAATTAGGTGAAATTATTCTGTCAATTTAATTATAAAAATGTGACTTTTTATAATAATTGACGTAAACATAATTTTCTGCTTATTAAAAATCATTGTCGCTAATATAGATTCATTATGAAACTATATATTTTATTGGCTTTCACAAATGTCAATAAGTAATCAAAAAATAACCATACCTTCCCTGATTGATTGATTCCTTGATTGCCTCTAGATTTACTAAAAATAATCAGTTATTTGGCGGTTCTTAAATATTTTATTATAACGTGATAAAATATAAAATTATTTCCACCACAGTCAGCGGAGTTAAGCTCATGGCAGCGGCGAGTGGCGGAGTTGAACAACAAAGTATCTGAGCTGGAGGAGCGGCTGGTCAAGGGTGAGAAGGAACTGGCCAAGAAACAAGACGAGTGCGCGAAACTACAGCGAGATCTGCGAGAGAACGTCGCACAGAAGGAGGACCAGGTGAGAATTACACTTAAATTACACTATGATTACTTTTAACAAATTCATCAATTTTTCTATTCGCCATTAAACAACGCCGACCAATCAAAGATCTAGCCGTGCAATTGAATAGCTTTAACTAGATGGCTGCGTCATGTCTAAGGATCGTAAAGTAACAAGCACGCTATCGATTACAGGCAAAGAGTATTGACTGAAAACTTGATAACGCCATAACTGACTTCAATATATATTTTTTAATTTAAAACAGGAGGAAAGGATAGCAACGCTCGAGAAGAGGTACCTGAACGCCCAACGCGAGTCTACGTCACTGCACGACCTCAACGAGAAACTGGAACAAGAGTTACAGCACAAGCAGGCCCAGCTCAAAGTAATTACTATCATTCAGCTCGTTCTCGTTATTTCCCTGCAGTCCACAGCTATTTTCAGCACTATCTCTTCCTTTGTCAAACCAATCTATTCGATTGTCCAGTGTTCAAAGTTGGAAATTACCCAATAGACAGAGTATTCTGCATCTAAAGAACGTTTACATACATAAAAAATATCATCGAGTGTGAATAGAGTAGAAGCGTTTTGTTTTGAACTATACAATACTCCATTCTTAGCTATCTAATTAGATTAGAAGAACAAAAGAATACCGATAAAAAAGCAATACTTATACTGAAAAAAATACTTGACTCACAATTTATGATTTTCATGTTCTTCTCAGAGTCATGTGACTTCATAGTTACCAAATTTTGATACCAGTCTAAAACAACATAATTACCATAGCAAAACTACTTTTTATTCCTTTAGATTTGTGGTAAAGGGTTGCACAAAGTAATTAGAATAATAAAATACTAACCAGAATCGTTTTTTTTTTTTATTTACAATGATGTGTGTGTGTATTTGTAATTTAACTAATAATAAAGCACTAGTCACATGACGGTCAATGGATATAGTTCCATTCTTAGGGTTTAGTGGTATAGTTCCATGTTCAGATTATATATATACTCAAATTTAAAATACCACTTGGTGTTAAGGGACTTAATAAATTATGTTTATTTACAATGGTGTGTGTGTGTGTATTTGTAATTTAACTTATAATAAAGCACTAGTCACATGACGGTCAATGGATGTAGTTCCATTCTTAGGGTTTAGTGGTATAGTTCCATGTTCAGATTATATATATACTCAAATTTAAAATACCACTTGGTGTTAAGGGACTTAATAAATTATGTTTTATTTAACTGATTTCGTTTACAATCAAAATAAATTATATTTGCTTAAGCAAAATATTTCATGTCACCAATGTTAGCAAGTATGAACGTAGAAATCTCAATTTGTTTTTTCATAAATGATTACTTATAATTTCATCATTTTTAAATTGGTTGCTCAGACAGTCTTATTTGTTTATTACAAAAGCCATTAAAAATATTGCAACTATCTACATAAATCCACTCACACCTCTATACGCGTAACACGTACACAGTTCCAGATCTATTGATTTGTCAATGATAGAACTGTACTTTTTTTATTGTGTTAACTAAAATACTGTCGAAGTCAGGAGTAAAGTATAACTGAAATAACATAGTAAGCCATTATATCTGAACATGGAAGGCACGTAGTATGACCCATATTCATAATCATTCGACACTGTACATATCGCGCAGCTGCAAGAGGAGAAGATTGCAGCCATAGAAGAGAAGCTGGAGCTGTCTACGCAGAAGCTGGCGCAGATGTCCTCGCTGCCCGAGATGGAGGAACAGCTCAAGGCGCGTATGGAAGCCCTCAACCAGGTAAATAGCACGCACTTGTTCATATACCTTCAAAGATTATGTCCAAAATCAATATTGAGCCAACTGAGAATCAGACCCTGGAAGCACAAAGTGATGGTGTCAGATTAGAACCAATTATACATCAGTCTGATATGAAGGTTAACATGGATAAGACTTATAATCATATTTAATGCTTTTATCTGTCTACAACTTTTAAACAGAATTGTAGTAGTTGCATAACAGAAGTTCCATTTAACATATTTTGACAAGTCCAAAACTGATTTAAAAATAATGTCATTCTGGACTGATTTTAACAATATCTTGTTTTTAACCTATATTCATTTTATATGAAACAATAAACCAAGCAATTTAATCTTACGTAATAATTTATCTCCATGTCAATAAAGTGTTATGTGTATGGTTTTAGATTTATTAGGTTACTTCCAAGTCTGCTATGACCAGGTACAGCTTGTATCACTATCCCTCGACGGGAGTCATGCTTTAAGCATTATCACCATACTTCCATGGTTCATTTTAGTATTGATACATTTAATATTGTCAATAACAAACCAACTGTAGTTTTACTAACATGACTTATCATCGTATCGGCATCGTAATTTTATAAAAGTGTAATAAGTTTTTTTAAATACATCAAAAATGTAATTAATGTCTTCTCATTAACAAATGCTTGATATGTTTGCTTTGAAATGTTTTTTTTATATAAAGAGAAGTAAATGAAAATATTATTACAGTAATATGTCCAATTTTTTATATGATCATTATTATCGACCTCTATATATCCCTTATATGGATAGAAATTGAAACTATCTACAAATTAGATGACTGTTAATATTGTTCTAAATAAAGCTAGTAATATAACTAGGGTTAATAATTACGGTCACCATCTTTTCAAAGTCCCCATAACGTTTCTTTAAATATATATGTATAAGCTTATATGTATACGTTTATATGTCGCCATATCGAAATATCTGATCAAAGCAACAAAATGACCGTTCAACCAAGCGGAATCCGCAGGCTCAAGAGAGGCACGGCTCGGCCGAGGACCGCATCCAGCGGCTCGAGGCCAACGTCGAGGAGAAGAACGCCGAGCTCATGCGCCTCAACCAGCGGCTGCGGATGAACGAGGAGCACAACACGCGCCTCTCCGCCACCGTCGACAAGCTGCTGTCCGAGTCCAACGATAGGTGAGACTTCACACTATACACTATGTATGCGTCACACTATACACCATGTATGCGTCACACTATACACCATGTATGCGTCACACTACACTATATATGCGTCACATCATACACTATGTATGCGTCACACTATACACTATATGCGTCACACAAGAACATAACACGCACCTGTCTTCTAATGTGCACATAACCTAAATTATGCTAACCAATGATTATTAACGTTATAGTTTGTGATTAAAATAAGTAACAATTATTATTGTTATATTAATCAAGTGTGTATTTCAAAGATGACAAAAACATAAAAATTTCTTCATATCTATTTTTTTTCAAATGCTCTTTATCGTCAGATAGCGTTAATTCACTATTTTATCCACCAGGTTACAAGTCCACCTAAAAGAACGCATGCACGCGTTAGACGAGAAGAACGCATTAACTCAGGAGTTGGACAAGACGCGCAAGTATGCGGACGAGCTCATGGCGGAGAAACAGGACATCCTCAAGGAACTAGCCAAGTGGCGCATGGAGACTGAACAGGTCAGTTTGTGAAACGACCCGGTAAAAACTTACCAACTTGTGCTAAGTTTCATATTTTTACTAAGAATGCAGAAATACGACAGTAATAATTAATTACATTGACCGTTATTTTTAATTGGAATAAACGATACTAATCTATACAACGCATTAAAATAATATATTGTAATTTAACTTGTAAGATATACCAACTTTGAAGTACGTATCTTAATTTATATGTTAAAAACAAAAACAAAAAGAATATTAACGTAAAAAATAGTAATAAAACAAAAAAGCAGTGGTATAAAATCAAAATGTAGCTTCCATTATTGCACTGTCAAAGAAGTAAAGTGTGTGTATGTGTTAATTGTGTGGGTTGAATTCCAGTTGAAGCGCCAAATGCTGGAGCAGGAGATCGCGTTCAACATCCAGCAGACGGACGCGCTCACGCGCTCGCTGTCGCCCGCGCACGCGCCGCGCACGCCCTCCGCGCTCTACCAGCCCAAGGTACACTTGTCATGTATACACAGGGGTCGGAAACCGGTATATTTTTCGAAACGTTTTCATCTTAAATATCTAAAAAACACTTTGTTTCGGTTTCGGTCGAACAGAACGATATAAAAAACGATTTTGGAAAAAAACAGAATTATATTGTTTTCGGTTAATAAAACGTTTTTAACCATTTATTTTGCGTTTTTTGCATCGCATACTGTAAATAACGTAATAAAATAAACGTACACCGCCCTTACAGCCCGCGCTGCACCGTCTTGCGGATTAAACCGGTTTTTTAAAGCGTTCTCATTTCGTTTTCGTTTCGAACGCAATCTTGCCCAAAGAACCATAAGAAACGTTTTAAAAACGTTATTTTGAATAACGTTTCCGAGCCCTGTGTATACATCCACAGTGGAACCTCCATAACTCGAACCTCGTTAAGTCGTAATCCTCAGTAAGTCGAAAATCATTTTTATTCCCTTCCGCTGAAACCTGCAATATCTCGAATTATTTTTTTAAAGTAAAGTAAAGTAAAAAATGTATTTACTATTGTGATAATACATATTATTTTGGTAATGACATGATTTATGTAAATGTCATTTCATAACTTATGATAAAAAGCTGGTAAGTTTCTTTCGCTTGTTCTTCTTGTCAGCTAAAAGACGTCCTGAACAAGTGGTAGGGGAAAAAAGTTTTTTGGACGATTCAAAAGTGCTTGTAATAGCCTACTTGAATAAAGATATATATTCATTTCATTTATTTATTGACATAATTTCAAATAATACAAAACTTAATGAATTTTATTATTATTATTTAGACTTTATAACTCGAACAAAATGTTATTTCTCTATGAGGTATTGGTGGTACATATTTATACTTTATAAGTCGAAATTCAAAAAACAGACTCCGTAACTCAAAATAAGTAAAATATAATGGCCACGAACTTGGAATTCCCCGAACTCATAGCAATAAAATCCAAAAGGAATGGAGTCGAGAATTGTGCTACTGCGCATTCGATTGTCGATTTATTACTTGTCGAAATTTTACGAATCATTTGTATCTCGAAATTCTTGTTTAGTTGAAAACTCCTTAACTCGATTTTTTTGGCATTTCCCTTTACATTCGAGTTATCGAGATTCCACTGTAGTATAAGGTACACTTATCTAAATATATATAACTCAAAGGTGACTGACTGACATAGTGTTCTATCAACGCTCCGCCCAAACCACTTGACGGATCAGGCTGAAATTTGGCATGCAGGTAGATGTTACGACGTAGGCATCCGCTAAGAAAGGATTTTGATCAATTCTACCCCCAAGGGGATAAAATAGAGGATGAAAGTTTGTATGAAACTGACAATTTTAAACCAATCAGGCTGAGACTTTGCGTGCATAAAACTACTATGACGCAGGCATCCCCTAAGAAAGGATTTTGATCAATTCTACCCCTAAGGGGATAAAATGGGGGATGAAAGTTTTTTTCAGGTATTTTACACGATATAATGAATAAATATCCGTTAGAAATGCTTCCAGCCCAAGGTACACTTAAGTCATGTACACTACCAACCCAACTCTATTATTTCGCTCATTAAGGAGTCTTCTTTTTTGCAATGATTCTTACTTTGAATTATCTTTACAGCTGGACGGGTCTTGGGAGAAATTGCAGCAGGCGCACGTGTTAGCTAACGTACAACAACAGTTCGATGTCTCCAGCGATGCTGAGGTAAGATTTACATTTATTTATAATAACGCCATGAGAAACATACAGTACATTATCATATTTAGGACCTATAGTATACAGTACATTATTTAGGACCTATAGTTTGTTACAAAAAAAAAATACTACAATGGCCAATAAAGTTTCTACAATTACTATTATTAGCTAAGTTTATGAAAACTAGAGTGCCCAAAATGCGAAAATTTTGGTACATTATCTTGATATAAATTGACAAATTATTTCTTTCAACTTTGATAATCATTACTCCTTACGTTTAAATATTTTAATGATGAAAGTTGACAAAACTATTGAATAGATCTTAACAAAAAACTAATTATGAGGTAAAGTAAAAACATCTGCCACCAGACCAGTCATCATCTTGATTTTATTAAGGACCTTATAATTTATTATCTATCCCTATAGTCGTGACTTTAATATCAAGATAACAGAACTGTTAGTGTTACTATTCCTAAACATTTTTGAGATAATTACGTATTGCTGTTTTAATCCGCTCAAAAGAGTAATTTTTTAATGTCTTTGTGAGGTGTCGATAAGCTTACTATGATAATATTTCGGTCAGAACGATGAGTCTGACGGCGGCGTGGAGGCGGGGCACACGGACGCGGCCGCGCTGGCGCTGATGCTGCAGGAGCAGCTGGACGCCATCAACACCGAGATACGGCTCATACAGGAGGAGAAGCAGACCACCGAGGCCCGCGCAGAGGAGCTCGAGTCCAGGGTCAGTGTACTCTACATACAAGTTATGCACTTTTACAGCTTTAACTCATTTTAAAACTTTATCGTGCACAAAGTTACTCAGACAACATACACTATTAGAAATTTCTATACAAAAGGCGAGCTTAATGCACTTTTTCACTAAACTTAGGAGTCGTCTAAATATTTAGGAATCGCCTAAGGTAAAAATGCATTTCACAATTGACAAGGAACCACCTAACGAAATTAAGCAATATCTAATGATAGGGTATTCGTTATGCAGCACCTTGCGCTATGCGTTTACGTATATGACAGGCCATAAACATGTCAAGGGATAATAGAAAAAAACATTTATTTGGAATTAAACTAATCTGCTTAGACGATTCGTAATATTAGGAGTTCCCTAGTTAAGCTATGCCTTGTTCTAGGATAGTGAAAATGCTTGTAACACAAACATGAATTTAAACAACTAATAATTTTCAAAACTGAAAATACTGAGTATAGATATAGATGATGTTCTCTTAATATTATTAACTTTATTCAATGTGTGTTTGCAAGGCCAAAGTTTGTGATTTCTTTTATTAATCAAATAATAAATCAGTGTATTCACAAATTACAAATCAAATTTTTATAATTTGTATACATGTATATAAATTGAAAAAACAACTCAAAATTATGAATTAAAAAATCCAATCCTAAAAAGTTGAATTGGACTTTTGTGTCGACATTGGTATTTCAGCAGTTTTTTATATATTTTTCTTAGTAGCTCAGCTGCGCGTTTCGTTTCGAATGTCAATATTAAATGTTATTTAAAAATAATATCAAATGTTTGACTTAGTATGACATCAGAACATTAAGAAAATTATTTTAAAACACTGTTTCTAGGTGCTAAAAATATTGTTATATGGATTTTTATAATAATTATTTAAGATTTACTGAAACAGGAGTCAAGTAGCCTATTCACGATTTGAATAAAGCATAGTTTTATATGACATCGGAATTATAATGAAAATGCAAACTTTCAAATTACGGAAATGAAATTATTTCATTTCCGTAATTTGAAAGTGAATTAAAATATATATATTTTGTGTGTTGCGTGATTATTATTTTCGGTTAACATTTTTTTTAAATAGAATGTCTGCTCCTAACCTATAACATTGATACAGAGACATTTAATTATTTTTTTTCTACCTTACTAGTAGAAAAATTAATGCAAAATTATTTTAAAAAATTAAATTTTTTACTGCATTTAATTAAAATTCTGTGTTTAAAGAACTGTAGTTTAAACAAATTTTGATATTTGTCAAAATTTGCATTCATAATGCTACATTAATATTTATCTGTTTTAAGTTTAAACCGGGATTAATTTCTTTAATGTTAAGAGTTTATGTTAATAATGCTTATCTGTCATGTATTGTCGCCAGGTGGGCAGCTACGAGCACATGAACGCGCTAGCTCCCGCGTCTCCGCCTCGCGCGCATCATCACAAATATCACACGGTATGTACTCAGCTTGTCATACAATCAGCAGCATTTACATTCATTTCCTATCCGTTATGTCGTAAGCTCATTAAGTAACCTCACAAGCCCTAATGTGTTTCCACGATTTTAGTAATTTTCTATTTCAATTTATGCAATTCGTGGAATGAGTAATATTGTTTTAGACACATATATGTCTGTTATATCCGTTTCATATTAGGTTTTTTCTAATAACGCTATAAAACTAATTGTATATAATTATCAGGGGCAGAAAAAGTAGGGCGACAACTATTTGTTATTTTTTCTCTTTTCGTCAGTTATGGTTCAATCGACTGAAATACGCGTTGCGCACAATTCTGACAATCACACATTGGTAGTGATATTTTTATTAAAAAAAGGAATTAAGTTCCTTAATACAGAATCACATTATAGCAAGTTAGTATAAAAGGTACTGGGTATGGTACGATTATTCTTGTTACTTGGGTTAGGTTAGATTTTTTTTTCTCAATGTTCTTAAACGTTTAAGGAGTTCGGAAAAATGCAAATTTAAGAAAAGTTGTTTTATTGCTTGTTTGGTTTTGAAATAAATTTGGTATATTGTGTACAAACATCGTGGATCTCAATCTCATCAAAAGTGTGGATGGAGATCCTGCCATAGTCTGCCATAGTGTGGATAAGACATAGGGGGGATAGACGACAGATGAGAAAAAGGTTAGGTTATATGTTTGACGCGCGGTGGTTGGTGCGCAGGCGCCCGCGTCGATGTCCCCGGCGCACGCGCTGTACCGGCCGCCGCCTTCCTCCGAGAGTCTGCCCTCCAGCCAGGTCTGTCACCACCACCCCTCCCCCACTCCCCGCCGCTGCTAAACAGTTACGGTCACGCCTGAACGCGCGTTTCCACTTTTCGCTATCCCTTTTCATATTTATGCGAAGAAAAAATTAAATGCCCTCTAGTAATGTTAACACCTACAATAAATAATCTTTCTCGATTACGATATTGAACTAAGCATATTGCTTAACCTTTAGTTTACAGTTGTATAAACTATCTACGTTTTTCAAATTAATATTTTTTTAATAGTTTCCTGAACCGTTAGCACTGTTACTTACCGGTTATTTACACACAAAATCATAAACGTTTCTTACATGAATTTAAACTATTTTAACGCGATATTACTTGAAATTTATAAAAGAAAATTCACATTTTCATGCCAATAGTGTAAAAACTTTTGAAACTATCAAAATGTTTAGATAAGTACCGTTTTCAATATTATAAATTTGTATAGAAAATGCATTTCTACTTCACCTAGATTATTACATATAGATTAGCTGAATTCGAAAGGGATGGTATTATAAAAACTAATGAAATGAGCGTGACGGTGATATAACTCTCGCCTGGCATTAGACTCGCTAATCTTATAACTAACCTGCCCTTGTTCATGGTTTGACCGAATTGTAACTTATATTTCCCCTAAAGGGGGCTTTCCTGTAATAAATCAGCTACTAGCTCGCTTATGTCCTTCACATTCTGTGTCAGTAAGATAGTGGGTATGTTTTGTCCGACGCTACACTCGCCTGTGTTCCCCCGATGTTGAGCTTGCTTACCTCCCGTTTTAAATATTATAAACTTACCCTGACACTGGGCATGCCTCTCCTGTTCATCTGGCGCTGCATTCAGATGCCTCTCGCTTATCCTACACCGGCACCGTATACGCTTGTCTATGTTATTTGAAAAGCTTTAAATACTAGGGCAGACTAGTGCAGATTTTTTTACAAATATATAATGATATCTACAACTGGAGCTACTTTATCTATAGCTAGATTCTCTAAATACTGTATCGTTAATAAGCTGTTTCATTAAGTTAATTAGAACACTTTTTGTTTTTTCCACATTACCGTCGTCTGTTTAGGTATGATAGCAGTCAGTTTGGTTAAGTTAGGCATACGTGAACCCCCAGAATTAATCTTAAATATAAATAAAGTAACCCTGTGATGGTATTGATATTGTGTCTTTCCATATATCGTTAATACAGTTTATAAAATAAGCTACATGCCTTATACATAATTTGTAGTATTATTGATATAAAAAATACGAATAATTTATTTTCATTTAATAAATAATGTGTTGTTGTTGAAAATCATTTCTGTCTTATCTGTGCAACACTTACGACATTCCCATCTCGGATTTTTTTAAAGTAGTTACGTCGATTTCAACTTCAGAAATTAAATTGACCCGTTTAAATCACTTAAGGGGTTGATTTCGCCTCCGCAAAAAGCAAAAAGAATTTGATGCATTGAAGTGCAAGTTTTGCACATGATTGCTTCTTATAAATATTTATATATACCAATAATATTTTTGTGAACGAAATATTTCTAATTATAATATTCTTAATGAAATATGTTTAAAACATCCACTTAGTCCCTAGCACCCTGAGATGGGACTCAAACCCATTACCTTTCGCAATCCGAGCGACTGCCTAACAGGACTAACGAATCTTTCAATCACTTGTTGCTTTTTAACTACTACTAATGGGTTCGTGTCCAAAGTCCCAAGGGTAATGTGGATTTTTTAAGTATTTTTCATTAAGAATATTTTTTAATTATAGATTGCAAATGCAAAATTCATCAAATACAATAATAGAGAGTTTTAACTACCAATAAAACTTACCTATTATTTTTCCTAAAGATATCCGGAATCCATCTTGAGTCAAGCATCATCCTTTTTGTGACGTTTCCGGTCAAAAACACTACCTCCCCTCTTACTTCCGGCGCCTGTGCTGCCATCTAGTTTGCGGGTAGCGAACCAATGACTTTTAGGCACGAACGCTTACCGTCATTATACCTACTCTAGATGCACCAGGTAGAACTTACCTGGATTCCGGATATCTTTAGGAAAAATAATAGGTAAGTTTTATTGGTAGTTAAAACTCTCTATTATTTGTTCCGTTCGATATCCGGAATCCATCTTGAGTGATGTGTTTGTTATCTCCTGGTGAGTGCCATTGGTGACGCTATAATGTGTTGCAGGTATAAAAAGTCAAATGTAGTCTGATGAGAAAAAATAATGCATATTATAAGTATATTATGCTATTACCTACATAGTACATATA